GAATACCATGGGCAGGGGGGAGGCAAGAATGATACAAGAAGGGCTTTGAAAATAGACCTGCTCAGGTCATGTTGCTTTAGAGACTTGGAATGAAGTAAATGAAATTTCAAGTTTATTTTCATCATAGTTAAGTAGATAAAACACTGGATTTTGGAAGCATTCTGCATAAAATATGAAATATATTGCAGAGGGGTTCTGACTCCACTTCAAATATGATATGGTTGCTGCTTTGTTTAAAAATTGTGTTTATTAACATGATGTAAGGAAAGACTTTCTCCTTTAGTAACGCATTGCAGACTGACTGGCCAGTATTCCACAGGAACTCTGTCCTGGTTCTAAAAAACTCAGTTACCTAATCTATCTGGGGAAAAGGGGTAGTGTGCCTGTGGGTGTATGTGTTTTGCCCAGGGATATAGTCTGTCTCATTCTTTTTCCCCTTAATACACTAACTTCTGTGCTTATTACAGGAAATATATTAGTTCAGGGAAGGAATTGTTACCTAGGATTGATTTCTGTCCTGGTCTTTTCTGTCTTTTTGGGACTCGTGAAATAACCAGGTCACAGATTTTTCAGTTGAATCGTTCTTTGTTCTTACTCTGATTTAATCTGCAGTGAAGATCTAGCAATACAGCACTCTGCTACCCTTAGAGGTTGTAAGTATTCCAAATAAACTGAACATTCAGAATGTCTTTTTCATTTTTTTTATGGGAAAATAAAGTAATTTCCTTTATTAAAAAAACCCAAACAAACAAAACCAAAAAAACAGATTTGATTTATAGCAAATTAATCTTTTGTGGCGACAGTTCCATACTGAAATGAGAAATAAAATTGTGTTAAAAATGGTAAGTGAAGTAAGAAAAAATCAGTGCTTACAAAGTCTGATATAAAAAAAGAGCAATGGTTATGTTTTTGTAAAAGTATACATCGAAAAATATTAGAAGTTACTGTAATAATCTCTCATTCATTAGCTGTAAGCTTATTATGTGCTACTTATAGATGTCTGTGTACTCTATTTATAGCATTCCTCATAAAGAATAAGCATCTAGCTAAGCATGAATATATACAACATAATCATTTTTATATTTATAATTAACAGGAGCCGTAGTATTATGTATTGTTATGAAATATTACTGGCTGATATGGCCTCTGTTGTGCCACACTGCTGGCTAAGGTAAACATAGCTGCTGTGGATCATATACTAGGGAGACCATTTTGTTGATCACCTAGTACTCCTATTTGGTTTTTTTCTATAAATTAATTGTCACATAATTAGGTCCAGCATATAAGCCTGTTTTTTAAAGTGTGGAGGGGAAGCTAAACCTCAAGAAATTAACAAAAAAACCCAAACCCCAATGCCAAATATACTGTGTTTGGCTGCATTTCTTCTGTATACTGTAGAAAATCCAGAATACTTAAGTTAATGTTGATAAGATTTTGCTCACTTTGTACTGGTAGAAATCATAGGCTTTTTTCCTCTTGATACTTGATACCTTGATACTGTTCATAGGTTTTTTACAAACGCTTCCTGAATCGTTAGAAACTTAAGTTGTTAGGAACTTAAACACAATAATGCAGTTCAACGTGAAACCTTAAGCCTTACACAGAGGGGTTATTTCAAAAGACGGTGCTCCTTTAAGCTGTGCAAAATTTTACAGGGATTTGTATATGAAGATGTCTTTTCATAATCTGCATAGTATTTTCCTACTTATCTACTAGAACTTAATGTATGCTGGAAAATTTGTAAATTATGTTCATTTTGAAAGCAACTGCACTTCAATTACAAGAACAGTGAACAAAAATTCATTAATAACTTAAGTCTAGGGGCAGAATTTGAGAAAGAAGCTGTGGACTTGAGACCTGCAGCTAGTTTTGTTGAATTTGTAAAATAAATCTTAATAATGAAAAGTAACATCTTGGTACAAATGGATTTAGATATGGTAAATTGAGTTCAGAAGTTTAAAAGAAGGTTCTGATCACAGATATTTTGTTTCAGGGGCAAGAACTGTGAAGGAAGGAATGTTGCCCCTCAGACAAGCAGGAACCCAGGAATGCTGTTGCTGGCAACGCGATCATGCATTCAAAGAGGAAATTTTAACATTTTATTTGTAAATAATGAATGTGGTTATTTGTACTGATGCAAATGTAACCTTTTTATTTTTCCAACTGTTTTTGAGATTATTGACTTGATATAATAACATCTTAATTTATTTTTGAGAAATAAATTTTATTTTTTTAAGTATCTTGAGTTGCAGGAATTAATTTCAGCTTTCATTTTTTCCCAAGGATTTTAAACCATGTAGTTGTGTTTCACATCTAACTTCTAATTAAGAGAACAATGGTATTACCTTGTTAACAGTTTTTGTTTGGGAATATTTTATCTTTTTTTTTTGTACACATACAATGTTGCAGACACGATATTTTATTAAAATTGACCTGCTTATAAGATGTTTTATAATGCTGATTTGATCATAAGACACTGGCAAAACCTGCTTGCTTTACTCCAAGTAGCGTCCTTCAGATGCAAAGGCATGTGAGACAGGGCCATAAAGCTTGAACTTTTTTTTTCCCCAAACCAAAATCCATACAAAAATTACCACTGATTAAAATGGCATCATAACTATGCATTCTAAAACACATGTATTTCCAGTTTTCCAAAAGTACTACACAATTTAGCTAGTATAAATGGCTAGTGGCCCCAGTTTCTAACACTTTTATATTTACATAAGCATCAGCAACTGCAAATATGGTTGTAAGAGGCCTAAATCTGAGTCTTGATTAAGGCAGACATGATTTATGCATTAAAGATGTGTGATTCATACTTCAGAAAATAAAGTTATTTAATAAAGTTATCAGACATAAAGCAGAGGAACAGAATTTAATGTATTGCAATTTACAGGTTAGGCCTAAGTTAAGGGTTTCGAGTCTTAGGTTTGTCAACCAAGATACTCTTCTATCTGTTGTATTTCAGCAACTCTGCAGGTGGAAGCACGCTAAACTCCTTTCACTGTTTATGCAAACACGTTCCACAAATGCAACTGTTCTGCTTTAAGTGGTTGTGCAAAACCAGGCACGCATTTTGCTACAAGGTCAAGACACACTCATCTGAAGTATTTCTGCAGTTTTGGATTATTTATTTTGCTGTTACGAAAATTATGATGTAGCAAAAAAAACCCCTGTTTACTTATAGAAAAGTATGTTGTGTGTTTTAAATCAAGCTATTTGTTTCTGCACATAATAGTAAATGAAAAACATTAGAATTAGGTAGACCAGTGTAATAATTGAAAAATATTAAACTATATTTTTTTTTTCTCTTTAGGCAGATCAATTTGCCTTCAGGCCTGAAATCTATGCATCAAATTTCAGACAGATTTTTTTAAAGCAAAGGAACATGTAAGCCCTTCAAATGAGTATTTCAAGTGGAAAGTAAAATCATTCTGTAATTACAGTTGCATCACAACACTAATGGAATTCCACTAACGTAATGTTGCATAAAGCCTTGCTTGCTCCTCCCACATGCACTAAATATAAATGTGCATGAGCAGCAAAAGCAATTTGCCTAATATCTGAATCGGCTAAATAGCATTTGCACTAAAATTTTGTATCTGGATACTAACTTCGCTGGTAAAACCATGGGTGAAATCTGATAAATAAATAGAATCATAATTACATTTTCTCATTAACTTTAGATGCTGTCTTGCTATTTTGTTGCTTGCCTGAGAAGTTAATGACTCCACTTATACTGTTCAAGTGAATTTGTTTTGGAAAGGAGGGACTTTTTTTTTTCCCCTCCTAATATCATAATTTCAGTTAAATGTTTCTTTGAGTTACTAACCAGTTTGCATCTATGCAAATCCTGGAACACTAAGTTTATTCTTCTGAACTGCATTGCATTAATGTGGGGTTATTGAATCTTAGCAAATATTTTTCTGTGTATAATGGCATTGCAATTAGCTGACTGCTGTTCAGAAGGCTAATTGCTTATTAAGGTGATTCTTTTTCTGTCACTCAGGACGGGTTATAAATTTCACAAGAGACTGATTTTCCTTCTGAATGTAGTGTGCTTACAATTACTGTATGTTAAATGTGAACTGCACTGAACTGCTGGTCCAAATTTGTCCCTCTGTTTAATTCAGAGTTTGTATGCCAAGTTGGTGGAATACTTTCTCCAAAACTAAAATAGTCAGACATCATGTTAGTTCTGATTTTTTTTTAATTTTTTTTTTTTCCAGCCTGTCAGTTGGAGAATAGAAAGTGTTCAGAGAGATTTCAGCGTTAGCAAGGGTGTAGCAAAGCTGGTCTGTTCAATGTCTTCCTGGCTGTTCTCCACTGCCGGCATACTTGCTTACTTTATTCTTACTTGGGAAACGTGCCAAAAAGAAATGTGAGGAATCTGTCTAAACAACTTGCCTCTTTCCAAATCCACATCCCATTTTTCAATTTGCTTTTTCTGTAAAGCCGATTAGTACTCTTATAATAGTAAGGCATCAGGGAAGAAATCCATTTGTCATTCTGATGCAAAAGAACGAGGAGGGTGCGGTAGGAATTCTGAACACCTTTAGCGGAGGGATCCCATTCTGGGTGCAATTTACTTTCCATCAACATGAGTGGAGGACTTTACCCTACAGACTGATTGTAATTGTGGCAAGGCTTCTCCTGCCGGTACTATGCAAACTGGTTATTATTCCACTATTTCTAAAAAAAAAAAAAAAAAAATCCATGTAGCTTAGAGATGTGTAATTTTAAAGATTAATCAAATTTTGTATTAAATATAGTCCATGTTGATAATGCAGATTATAAGCTCATGCAGGAGCATCTGCTTCTGGTTTTGTCTAGTTGGGAGATTATCCCTTAATCATGCAGGGTCCAGGTGTGCATTTTCAGATTTGTTGACTCAGGAAAGCTGGCGATGGCATTAAAGGCCAATGACACTATACTGTAGCTACATTCAGGTTGTTGCTCCTCTGAACAAGAACTCTTGCTTGAACCGCCCCGTGAAAAGAATGGCAAGAAGAAATGTGCTCATTACAGGTTGCTCCTCAGGAATTGGACTGGCCTTAGCTGTAAAAATGGCAAAAGATGAACAGAAAAGATTTAAAGGTAACAATGTTATTTATCTTTACAAAAAGGTATTCAAAACAGTAATTTTTTTTTTTTCCTGCTGTGGTTTGACAGGTGATTGTATTCCGTTTGGTGCCTTGTTTCTTGTTACTTTCCCCCCTCCTACTGTCATGAAAACACAATTTAGTGAAAATACACTCCTTTCTGTAAGCAGATATTTCTGTACCTGTACTGAAGCTGAGCAGCTACTTGAACCGAACAGTTTACAGAAAAGACCCCACACCAGACAACAGTATAAAAATAGCTGAAAATGTCTGCAGGATGCTACCTTGGATATATATTCACCTTTGTAATTCACAGTTTGCTTCTGGCTACTAAAACCTTTGTTGAATGAAACGTACACACCCATCTGAGGACCAAAGAAACCAATTTAGGACATCAGTTCTTAAATTTGCAGGTTTTTTCCTTAAAGCGTGTTAGTTATTCCAACCCTGTGTAGGTATAAGAGGGCGAACACAGGGGCTGGGATTTGTCTTCCTGCTGCAAAATGGGATATTTGCTGTGATTGAAAATGGATGGCAAGGCAAATACAGCAATCTGTGGTAATTCAGTTTCTCACACTTACAGTATTTTACTGCTAACTGACTGGATGCAGATTCATAGTTTTGTGGGTAATTAGGCCACAGTAGTGATAAAACTAATTTCTATTTTGAGAAGTAGCTTCTGTCTTCTACTTTTTAATAAAATTATGGTTGTTCTGCTAAATACATTGATGGTGATTAAGAAAAAAAAAAAAAAGGAATCCAAAACTCGGTTTTAGGTACTTAAAAATGATTGAGCAGCATAATATGATACCCGTTGTTTAAAGTTTTGGTGATAATATCTTCATATGCTGCATGTTCTTCACTGTGCCTAGCGGCTTAATTCTCCTTTTGAATTTCTTGAAGGTTTCAGAACCAGACTGGGAAATCACTAACGATGTATGTTGAAAATAGATTCTACTGTAAGTTTTTACCTGGGTTCTATCACTGATATTTAAGATACGGAAGTAAAAGCAATATTCTTTAATCTTCTCGGAGAAAAGGATTTATTTCTGGTAACTGTTGCTTCTGGTGTGTTGCAGTGTATGCCACCATGCGGAATCTGGCCAAGAAAGAGCCACTTGAGGAAGCTGCAGGTCGCAGGCTGGGCAAAACCCTTGAAATTAAACAACTGGATGTCTGTGATGAACAATCTATTAAAAATTGTGTGAATAGCATCCCTGACAGAAGGATCGACGTCCTAGGCAAGTACAGGATGTGTATGCTATAAACAGATACCGGTTTTCTATTTAACATCATCTCAAATACCCTGCAGAAGTTTCATGAGTGTATTTTTTAAGTGATCAAAGTAATAATAATTATATAGCGTTTTCTGTTCAGGATTCTTAAGGCTTCATGCAGATATGAGTGGATTAAATCTCACCATGCTTCTGTGAAGTAGGGAAGCTCGTTTTCCCTGTTTACAAAAGAGAAACTTGATCACAGGGAAGTGTCTTGGATAAGACGATACGGTTTTTAGTAAATGCGAGAAGAGAATTTTTGCCTAAATTGGCATCTTTGTGTACAAGACTTTCTGCCCAACATGATGAAGCCTAGCCCTAATTACGATGAAGGCAACAGCTCTCTGTACTAAGAAAGCAACACCATTTGGGAATTCACAAATAAAAGAACAAATGCAAAGAAAGCAAGGGTATTTTCATTTAGTATTGGGAATTGTAACTCTACAAGTCATTCAACAAGAAGCGTTTTGCTAAAAATAAATATTAGTATCATAGTAAAAAGGAAATTGCTTACACCATCAACTATTAAATCTCCTCTAATAGAAAATTATGGACCTGCCTTTATTTTGATTAATTATTAAAGCCCTGCTTAACAAGCTGCTTCTGCAAACTGTATTATACTGTAGTTTGACGCACTACTTGTAGAGTAGAACGCCAGTTCTATCATTCCGCACTTACAAATATCCAGGAGGCAAATAAAAATAAATGGAAGTGTGTGTTTAGGGTATTGGTTTGGTTTTTTTTTTTCTTTTCTTGACGATATGAATGTTAAAAAAACCCACAAACCAAAAAGCAGACCAAAATATGGCCTGGTCTATCACCTATTGGAACAAATTGAAGACTTCCATTCATTCTTATGGGTATTGACTAATTCTTAATACTGAATTATAAACAAATATAGATCATTCTCGGCTCTTTTTTTTTGTAATTCTTTTATAATTTAAAGAAAAAGGACTAATCAGAAATAATTTAGTTACAATGCAAAATATCAGATAATTTAAATTCAATTAAAAGCATAATTAAAAATAAAACAATATGGAAACGTCAAGTGTATTTGCAAAGCTTTAGTGACAGAAAAACATCTTTTAATCCTTTCTTTAAGGATTATTCAAGGATCATTTAATCCTTAATCCTCATTTTACTTTCAAATGCTTTCCAGTAAAGATTACAAGTTAATGTTTTTACAGAGGTTATTGCTCACTGTTGTCTTCCATTTTGTGCAGTTAGCAATGCTGGAATGGGGCTCATCGGACCAATTGAATGTCAGACCATAGATGAAATGAAAACCGTGATGGATACCAACTTCTTCGGACTCGTTCGACTCCTGAAGGAGATTTTGCCTGACATGAAGAGGAGAAAGAGCGGGCACATAGTTATAATAAGCAGCGTTATGGGAATACAAGGCAAAGTTGGTTTTTTTGGTTTTTTTGTTTGTTTGAACTAAGAATGCAGTATTCAAAATCTAAAGCTTACCCCCTTTTATCTGAAAAAAAAGGGATGTCGGAGCTAGCACATATAACTGTTGTGCTGTGTAATGCTGAAGTTCCAACTGCAGAAAGCACAACACTTAGACCTGATGGGTTTTATGCATCTAGGTGGTATGTTACTACACAACTGCTCTCAAGACACTTTAACAACAAAACCTGCAGAGTGTATGGGGGTTTTTTTAGAGTTTTAACTCAAACAGATTATTTATTTTTAAAAATTTTATTATTTTTGTTATCTGGAGAACAGGGCTTAGTAGCATTGCTTTTTTCTTTCCTGTTGCAAAAAATTATGAGGACAGGCAAACAGGCTTACTACACTCTGCACAATAATAATGGAATAAAATCTGATCATGTCCTCGACAACTGTACCACCTTTTTGTAAAGTTTCTCCTCTCATAAAACTCCACAGAGTCTAATTTTAGCCACAGATATAACAATGATCTTACTCTTGTGTTCCGTCCGGGTTAGCGGATTTGTTTCAATTATTACAGCAGTGGCATTGATCTTACCCAGATTATTCTGGTGAGCGAGGGTCCTAAGTCAAATTGCAGGAGTTGTTATTGTTTAGTATGACACATCCACCTAAATAGTGCTTTTTCTGAATCACTCCAGTGCAAGCTTTTGCATAACCATACCTCCTGCATTGCACTCAGCCTCTGTGTTCATCTATAGCCTATTAAAGCCTTGCTGATAAATAATGCAGATGGTATTGTATGTATGGACACTTTCATACCTTAGAGTACGTGATATTTAATATCATCCAGAGATCACAGCATCAAGTAGGAGGAGGAAAAGCATTAGTTGAGCATCCTTTCCTAAAATAAGCAATTCTGAGAACACATGCAAAACATCAGTATTTAGATTCAGTATACACAAGGATTTTTCTAAAGTCTTCCCAACAAGACTAGAAATCTTGGGAAAATACAAGAGGTTTTTAAAACTAAGGTATTGGTATGTTGAATACAATCACATTCTCAGGATGTTTTGTTTCTACCATCAGGTATCTTATTTAATGATGTTTATGCTGCATCCAAGTTTGCTGTGGAAGGATTCTGTGAAAGTTTAGCTATACAAGCACTCAAGTTCAAACTGCAGTAAGTATTGATCCACTGGTATAAATTGTATTTTAGATAATTTTAAATATATTCAGAGCTAGCAAACAAATTTTTAAAGCTTGCTGCTATCTAGGGGAGACAGATCAAGGAACCCATGGAAATTGTACGTCACAGAAGGCATAGAAAAGTCCACATTCTTCACACTACGTAAGCAAATAAAAAGGTCTAGATGCTAAAATAAACATGGTCTCTTGATCAGCTAAAGGCTGTTTAGCTTTGGATAAAATAGTTTATGTGACACTTCTGAAAACAGCTTTTTGCATACAATAGTGTAGGAATAAAACTATGATGGCAACCTGACTTAGGCAATTCACAGGTAAGAAAGTTGAAGGGCTCATCATAGGGAGCGAGCAAATGGAAATCCATTAGAATGGAACACAAGGCGTGACACCTTTAATGACAGGAGGTGGGAGGAAAGTGGGAGGAATGTGGTAGCCCATTTCTGAATGTTTAAGACTTTTTAGCCTTTTAAGAGAATGGTCCTGTTCATGGTTTGTGGGACTCTGGGGTTTGATTTGTCACATGTATATTCACATTCATGCAATTTTGCTACTGTTCTTTGTGTGAAGGCCAACAATTGTTAAGTATCTATTGCATCTCTGTGTGCCTAAGCATTTAGCCCTTGTGCTGTGGGAGAAGAGACAGCTGCTGTCCTGGATTTCAGAGACAAGGCAGCATCCAAACCGTGACTTCGCATACCGCTCTGTAAAGTTTGGAGGGATTTAAAATAAACATATGGTAAATGATACACAGGATGTACCAGAATTCACAGTAAGATTTCAAGAGTGTAAGATAGAGCGAAAAGAAGGTTAAAAAAAAAGAAAGCAGGATGGGAAAAGTCCAAGGTTCAGTGTGAAGAGTGACACGAGAAAAGGCTTTAATTCCAGCAGCAGCTGGAATTCTGCTGTCAAGGTCAAGAGCTTGATTTCATTCCAAAGAAGAGCCTGACCAGAACTCAAGCCTAGGAAGAGGTCCTATCCCAAAGAGTGCTTTGAGAAATACTGTGGCTGGGAGTTACTACTGCCTGAAAAAAGAACCAGGAAAGAATGGACCAGTAATTGCACTTCAGTGATTTGCTGTAATTGACCACTGAGTAAAATTTTCCAGGCTTGGCAGCAGTCAAAATCTGTCCACCCTCAGCAAAATTCTCTATCTTGTATTTTATTATAATATTGTGGAGGGATCTTGAATTTATGTTAACACTGACAGCTTGACAAAGAAAATCCGTGTTTGGGCAATTCCCCCCTCTCTTTCAGCTACTTCTAGTATTATGGGAAAGTGGTAACAAAGAAATCTGTGTAAGATTTTGTCCAGAAAGTAACGAATTTTGTTATGACCGTTTAATTATTTTTCTTAACATTTTGTAAGTTCTTGTGGATAAATCATCCTTTGATTCCACAGCTGTGAGACAGCAGGTAACAACTGCACTCACTTCTGCCATGAATTATGTTACAGCACTTCCCTGCAATTTAAGCGACGTGGACTTCTACTGCTACACGTGGATGGGGTAGGAGCACGGCAGCAATAATGTGGTATGGATTGCCTTTGCAGAACGTACGGTTTAATGTGGCTTCCTAACGTGTACTCACAGCGCAACTCTTCAATGTTCTTTTAAGGATGGAGAGGTGTATTTCCCACGCAGGATCGTCAATAACCAGTACCTTTGCTTTTCGAACAGGTTAAGTTTGATTGAACCGGGCCCAGTGGTTACGGAGTTTGAAAGAAAAGTATTTGAAGATGGAATGAAAATGGATCTTTCAGCTGCAGATGAGGAAACAGCTGAGATGTTTACTAATATTTACCTTAAAAATTACAAACAGATTTTCCAGAGCCTGGGACAAAGTGCTGAAGATGTTGCAGAGGTAACTCATCAACAGTTCTCCACCATCTTTTTTCTCAAATTTTTTTTTTCTTTGTAATTTACAAATGCACTGGTTGGTTGGTGAGGGGTTTTTTGGAAGAAGCATTACATTTAATTAAGTGTAATTTACATAATTTAAAATTATTTAAAAAAACCTCAGGAGAATCTCAAGAGCTTTAAACAAAACCCTTTAGAACATTAAAAGAAGGTTCATTTTGAAGTATTGAAGACAGCTATGAATGGTAACTTAAGTACCACCCAGGTGTTAGATGCACTCATATGTCATCTGGTGAAGTCTGAGCATTGCGCAGTGTTGTTTCTGGTGCCCAGGGCTTCCTGCAGGAAGACATGAGCCGGCAATGTGCGCTGGCAGCCCAGAAGGCCAACCGTACTCTGGGCTGCATCGGGAGAAGCGTGGCCAGCAGGTCGAGGGAGGGGATTCTGCCCCTCTGCTCTGCTCTGGTGAGACCTCACCTAGAGTACTGCGTCCAGCTCTGGAGCCCTCAGCACAAGAAGGACATGGAGCTGTTGGAGCGGGGCCAGAGGAGGGCTACAAAAATAATCCGAGGGCTGGAGCACCTTTCCTAAGCGGAAAGGCTGAGAGGGTTGGGCTTGTTCAGCCTGGAGAAGAGAAGGCTGCGGGGAGACCTGATTATGGCCTTTCAATACCTAAAGGGGGCCTATAGGAAAGAGGGGGAAAATCTTTTTAGTAGGGCCAGCAGTGACAAGACAAGGGGGGATGGTTTTAAACTAAACCAGGGTAGGTTTAGACTGGATCTAAGGAAGAAATTCTTCACAATGAGGGTGGTGAAACCCTGGCAGGGGTTGCCCAGAGAGGTAGTGGAGGCCCCATCCCTGGAAGCATTCAAAGCCAGGTTGGATGGGGCTCTGAGCAACCTGATCTGGTTAAAGGTGTACCCGCTGCTGCAGGAGGGTTGGACTAGATGACCTCTAGGGGTCCCTTCCAACCCAAAACATTCTATGATTCTATGATTCTATGATTCTATAAGTTTGGGCACACTGTGAAAGGGGACAATGCTTTCAGGTGCTTACTGCCGAGGAGCAGCTGCTGTGTCAGCTGAGGATTCCCAGATCTCGTTGCAAAGTGCACTGTTCCGATCCGTTCCCAGGGAACTGTAAAAGAAAGGATCTACCTATTGTGGGCGTATAGGCATAATTTTGAAGGGCTATTGAGGATATTTAGGCGTAAGGTGCTACCACCACAGAATAAACAGAAATAGGACCAAGAATAAATACGAGGTACTTAGGGCCTTGAAAGTATTTTAGGAAAAAATCTAATGAAATTCTAATAAAGGTTTTACATAATCCTAGCACTTCATTCCTCTACTTTTCCTCTGCTTAACTGAAAACTAGGTTTTGACTTCATTGTTTTGGTGAAGGTTCATTAACAATCCTGTTTCTTGTTCCTGACAGCATACAGTAAAGATAATTCTTGCAGAAAATCCACCTTTTCGCCATCAGACCAACACCTTGTACACGCCGATGACAACCCTGAAATATGCAGATCCAAATGGAGATCTACCCATTGATATATTCTACAAAATGGTTTTCCACCACGACAAAATCTTCAGTGCAAGTCTTAACTTTATCAAATTGCTAAGGTGGAGAAGTAGAAAGAGCTTTGACCTGGGAAAACCCTCACAATAAGTACGAGATTACATAGTGCAAATTGGAATTGCTTGTTGTAGCTACTGATAATGCAGTATCTTGTTATTCAAATGCCTTTCCTCCGTGATTCTGAAAAGGCATTTGAGATGTTCATCTGAGCTTAGCTAAGAAATTCAGCTCCATGTGTTCATCTTGAAATTTACAGTTTGCAGAACCTTGAAATTAAAATCCTCTAACCATTGGTTTACTCCGTTTAGCATTTGCTTTTTAGAGAGGTCTGTTTTCATGGGAACATGAACGTTGACTGACACTTGCGTATCCAATATTAACCCAATCCCCTTAATTTATTTGAATAAAATATATACTGAGAGGTGTACTGTATGTAAATGATTTAGATTCTCAAGATCATAAAAATATTTTATCTTTTTACTTATTAGAATATAATAGAATATAGTAATCCCTCAATCACACGAGCATTCTCATTTTCAGAAATGGGGTCTATTTACCAGTAATGTAAGAGAAAATCTCATCAGTCTTAAATGTCATAACTAGAATATTTATTATTCATATATGTGTTGTAATACTCTGAATGCTTCCTTTATATGCAACAGTTACTGGCATATTACACATAGTGGTCAATAAAATGTTTTGTAAAAGCATCTCAAAATAAAGTGTCTTCTTATGTAGTCTGGGTACTATTTTTTTCAAAAATAACAATACTCTCAGTAAGAATTTAAATCCACCAAATGCCTTCAGTGCCACAGGCTCTCCTTTTCCAAGGCATCCTAATAAATACTTATTAAACCAAAATTCTAGCATGAGGAGAAAGTCTTTTCCCTCTCTTCCTAGTCCTACAAATGAGCTGAGGCTAAGCCAGGGTTTAAGTGCTGTTCCTGTGGGGCATTCTTAGTTCTCTGACCTCCAGCCTTGCCCCGGCGCTGCCCAGGCTGAGATGAAGCCCCCAAGCCCCTCGGGCCTCCAGGCTGCTGTTTCTCAGCATGTTCCAGCTGCAGCCCTGATGTCACTCAGAGAGCCCAGCTGGGAGCTCACTGGGGGTACCGGAAATGGCTTTCTCTTTCCCGCAGTCATTTCTCACCAAGTCTAAGCTTAACTCCGTGCTGGGACTTGCCGTGGCCCTGCCCTGCCTCTCCCCAAAACCCAGCTCAGAGGAGCTGAGCCGCAGCTCCTGCAGATACCACGCACTTTGGCTAACGCTTGGTTTTGGTTTGCTTTGCAGTCCTGACCCTTCTGTGTGCGTGCAGCTAGGGGCCTCATTTATGTTCCACTCCTAAGACAGGCTTCCTTCTCCAAAATAATCAGGCTGGTGCCTGCACCCCAACATCAGTGCATGGTTGTGCAGAGGTGGGAAGAGCAGCTAGGCTGCAAACGGCAAGGCAGGAACTGAAGGGAGCGCAGCCGCTTGCCAATCCACGCCCTGAGCTCACCGTCTGCTGAGGGTTAGGGTTCAGCATGGGGCAGAGATGTCCGAAAACCAGCAGGGGCTTCAGCGGTGAGGGTGGCAGCTGGCACATCCCCCTTCCCCTCAGCATCCTTTAGGCAGGGCTGTCTCTGGCCCACACCTCGTGGCTGGGCTGCTTTTATGCTGTGTTCTTCCTTCACCCTGTGTTTCTCCTTTGCAGCACAAGGAAATGGGGAGCTACCAGGGCGGTGGGTTTTAACGGGCCTTCCACGAAACACCGGTGCGGTCCCGTTAACTTTGCTGCACGTGACCCTCGGGCTGCTGCTGAGGGAGCGGATGAAAGCAGAGAACGCAGCTGCACGGCTGGATCCCAAGTCATAGAATCATAGAATGTTTTGGGTTGGAAGGGACCCCTAGGGGTCATCCAGTCCAACCCCCCTGCAGCAGCAGGGACACCGCTAACCAGATCAGGTTGCTCAGAGCCCTGTCCAACCTGGCCTGGAATGTTCCCAGGGATGGGGCCTCCACCACCTCTCTGGGCAACCCCTGCCAGGGT